CTCCTGCCGCACGAGGTGGCGCCCCCTGGGGCGCTGCACCCCCCGCACCCGCACGGCCGCACCCACCTGCCCTTCGCCGGCCCCCGCGAGCCCGGGAACCCGGAGTGCTCTGCTCAGGAAGACCCCTCGCAGCCAGGAAAGGAAGCCGCCTGAACCCTTAGAAAGGACGGAGGTTCAACCGGAGTGAACAAGTTAAAACATCCCTAACGTTTTTAAGAGAGGAAGTGTAATAGATGCACGGCAGGCTTAAAACAGAAACACAGGTGTTCTGTGTACATTTGGAGTTCCTGTTTTGCTCATCCCTCAGCACCCCACCCTCCACACGCTAACACCCTTCTCTGCCCCCACCAGCTGTGAAAGGTCTCCTGAGATAGCTATTGGTTCTTCTTTCTTTAAAGAATCCCCCCGGATAAGTTTTGCCCCCTTTTAGGCCGTGTTCCATTATCTTTTAAAATGTGGAGCCTACTGCTAGAAGTAAGAAGGGTCTGCTCTGGGTGAGCTGATTGAACCCGGGTAGGGGGGAAAGATGCTAATACCTTTGACGTCTTTGACTGGGGTTGACGTGGAACCGCAGAGAGTTGTTATATAGAGCTGCGTCTCAAAGTTGCACTGCCTGCTGTAGGAGGCTTTCCACAAACAGACTGAGGATCTTTTAGAATTAAATTTACTCTTCAGTATTGTATAATGTTCAGTTTTTTGAAAGGCATATATTTTTCAAAGAAAAAGCAGTGAGGATGCAGTTGCTCACGTTGCAAACTATTCTGAAGTGGTTTAAATGGTATCTCTTAGTAACTTGCACTTGTTGAAAGAGACACGGAGTAGGGCCACCGTCAGAACTGTCAGGGAAAGAGATGGAGGAGGAAGGCCACCATCATTCTTAATACATTTGCTAGCACTTTATTGAGAAATTGACCATGAATCAATTGACTCATCTTAATTTCTTCTTAGCCCGTATATGTGTGTGTATATATACATGCATATCTATGTGTGTGTGTGTGTATATATATATATATATATCAAGTGCATCAGTTCGTACTCTCACTATTTAATCCACCGATCCATCGTGTTCCTAAAGTTTTGTAATCTTACTGTAAAAAAAAAAAAAAGTGCACTGAACTTAAACGCAAAAAAGAAAACAAGTCCAAACTGATTTGTCCTATATCCTTTAAATCACAAAAGTGGAGGAAGCATGACACCGTCAGCTTTGACTGGAAATGCTGTAAAGATGTGAAATGAAGCCCTGTGAGGCCTTCCTATCTCCAAGTCTACAACAAGTCCAAACTGATTTGTCCTATATCCTTTAAATCACAAAAGTGGAGGAAGCATGACACTGTCAGCTTTGACTGGAAATGCTGTAAAGATGTGAAATGAAGCCCTGTGAGGCCTTCCTATCTCCAAGTCTATGTATTTTCTGGAGACCAAACCAGATACCAGATAATCACAAAGAAAGCTTTTTAAATAAGGCTTACACCAAGACCTTGTCTGGGTATTTTTAGTTTGTTGCCAAGGTAGCACTGTGAGAAATCTCACTTGAATGTTATGTAAGGGGTGAGACACAACAGTCTGACTATGAGTGAAGAAAATATCTGGGTCTTTTAGTCAGTTTGGTGCATTTGCTGCTGCTGTTGCTACTGTTTGCCTCAAACGCTGTGTTTAAACAACGTTAAACTCTTAGCCTACAAGGTGGCTTTTATGTACATAGTTGTTAATATATCCAATTAATGTCTGACATGCTATTTTTGTAGGGAGAAAATATGTGCTAATGATATTTTGAGTTAAAATATCTTTGGGGGAGGATTTGCTGAGAAGTTGCACTTTTGTTACAATGCTTATGCTTGGTACAAGCTTATGCTGTCTTAAATTATTAAAAAAAATAAATACTGTCTGCAAGAAACCAGCTGGTTTAGAAAATTTAGTATGTGAAGATAAACTAGAAATTATCTTTATATTCTAGTATTTTCAGCACTCCATAAATTCTATTACCTAAATATTGCCACACTATTTTGTGATTTAAAAGTTCTTAACTAAGGAATAAAATCTTTAATATACAATATGAGATTGTCTAATAATTAAAAAGATAATGGATGCTCAATTAGTTTTAAAATATCTATAACTGTAGGGATGAAAGTCATTAAGATCTCAGATATACAACATTCTTTGTCACTGGCTTGATATCACACGTTTCCAATCCCTTGCAAGCCTCCAGGCTCTGGCTGTGTCCACCTGCTTGTTCCCAATGTACCTTAATGAAAAGTGCAAAAGAAAAATCTACCAATCACTTGTGTGGTTTGTTTGTGTTAGACCCAATTTGGTAATGTTTTTATGATGGATGAATTTTTCACTTTTTGTGCATGACATAGACTCTCTCTTATGGTCTGGTGTCTCTCACTGTATCCTGTATAAATACACTATCATATAGGGTTGCTTAATTTCTGAGAGTATTTTGGCTTCTTAACTTTTATAAAATTACTCTATCATGGGAATTTATCATGGAATTCAAGGAACAGATAATTTCTAGACGGTTCTCAAATTTGTTATCAAGTCTGTGATTTGATACAAATTGAGTAAAGGGTTGTCAATTTTTAGTTTCAGTAGTGTTCTTTACAAACCCCTTGATTTTTGAAAGGTGTTTTAATGATAGTCAAAATTTATAAAATGTACAAAAAGGGCTCCCTCTGCTGACTTTATGGCAACTGAACTGCAAGTCATAGAATGTGGAACCAGAAGGAACCTCAGAGATCAGCTTGTCCACTCCCCTGCATTTGTAATGGAAGGAAAATGAAGCCCAGAAACACTTAAGTATCTTCCCAAGGTTGCATAGCTACCTAGAGCCAACACTATCGGCCAGGTCTATTGCGTGCCTCAGTCAGTGAACTACTTCCCACTGCAGCATGTTGGACAAAGTAAGCTGAATTTGATTGGGCGGCATTCATGAAGCTTCATGAATAAACCATAGGAATAAGGGACATAAAAATTTGCACTGGAAAACAATGGAGGATTTTTGAGCATTGTTGATTTATTGAATTTTAGAAAAATAGCCTATCCATCTAAACCAGAATAATGGGAAAAACATCTTTTTAAATATTTTGAGTTACATTTTAATGCCATTATTGTAGTAATATTAGTTTCATAGCCAAAAAAGATTCAAAGTAAATCAGAGGATAATAAAATGTTTTAGCATTTGTGTAATTTTGATATAACAAAATAAAAAATTTCAGGGTTGGGCCAAATGGTATAGATCAGTTATATTGTGCAGTTGCCTGTATAGTAACACGATAATGAGAAATGCAAAGTAATTTTGTCTATATTGCACCTGAAAAATGTTATTTTGGTCACTGGTTTATTTTCATGAATCAGACCGGAGTTATAATTTACTAAGGAGGCTTCTGTACCTACAATGGTGAAATTTCAGCTAAAATGCTTTGTAGTATATGTGATTTTCCCAAGCTAAGACTAATATAAATCTTGATTCAATAATGCATTAATGAATATATTATACCAATTAATTTTACATACATATTTTTCTCAGCCAACTTTACATTGAATTGATAAATGTCCTTTTCCCCCCCAAAGACCTAAACTTAAGCACATTTCAAGGCACTAGAAAGTACATTTTAATAACTGTAAAATATGACTAGAGTTTTAGTTCCTATCATTGTGAAACTATTTTTCATTTTGTTCTGTTATTAGCCATACAGGCCTTAACTTTGGTTATTGCCCATCACCTGACATTTGTTCAAAAGTTATGTAAAGGAGCCTCAGCCTGTTCCTGTCTGTGTCTCAGGTCAGTTCTTAACCTCTCCATGGGAAGTGATTGCCAGTGGAGACCTGAGAAGACATGACTGTGCAAACAGACTAAAGCCCTTTACCTTAGATAGAAATGAACCGAGCTCTCAGGAATTAATGAAGACCATAAAATGCCAAAAACCAGCTGTATTACTGTGACAATGATGTTTTTTACTTCAGATACCAACCTGATGGTTTTTTGTTAAAAATTGTTAATCTATTGGACCCTCAGATCAATTTATTTAGGCCCACCCATTGTTCTCACATTGTTATTTTAAATACATTCAAAGTGGATTTGCAGAGCATGCTAAAGTCCAATGTAAGCTCCAGTTTTTCATAGGAGAATTTAAGTAGGAGATTGACATAAAAAATTATCACATATTTTGTGTGATTAAGATGGGATTTATACTAAAAAAGTGTGTAGCATGTACTTTAAAAATATGCTATTCTAGGTTGTACATTTATCTTAAAATTGGATTTCTTGTACTTGTTCAGCAATTCCATATTGAAAACTCCGAACAAATATAAAACTATACCTGTTTGAAAGTTAATATTTTAAAATTCTAAATTCAATAATGCCTAATTTGGCTGGCATTGGGATGATTTGTGCCCCCTGAAACAATGGTTCAGAAAACTGAAGCTTTTATGTTCAAATACCAATGCTGTTTTTCTTTCTTTCTTTTTTTTTTAATAGTGGAAAGCATACTAGAATGTATTCCACGTATCCTCTAAAATGTCTTACACATGTCTTAGGAAAAAAATATCCTGTACATATTTAATCTTCTCAATAATTCAGGGTCATCATTATAATTATCCCTTTTGCACTATGCATGTCATCCAGGAGTATCTGCACCTGCACCAAATTCTTTGTGCGTTCTTCTATCTGCTTTTTATAGGGTTTTCCGTCTTTTTACTCACAGCCAGGCTGTCAGCTGTCACTCCTTGATGCCTCAGAGTGCTTCTTCCAACTCTTATCTCATTTGCTACCTCTGACTTACTGTGGGCAGAGAAATTATTTAAACAAAACCACACCCATTCTAAACGTGTCTAAAATTAGAGTAAATGGGCTCTAGCAGAGGACCTGAAGGCCTCTTGTGTAAGTGAATGTGTGAACTGGCAGAATGTGTGACTCGTTTCTCCCCCCAAGCTGTTTTTCTGTTTCCTTTTACTTCCAGATTTTCAGCAATGTTCCTTACCAGATGACTTATGCAAAAGCCTCCAAATACTTCATATATTTCTCCATCATTTTCTTACCTAAAAATAAAAGCAACTTGCTAATGGTCTACAGCTAACCACAAAATAAGCAAATTTCCATGCAGAAATATATTTTTTGATGGGATGAACAGTTCTGGCTCTTAGGTTGATAGAAATAGGGGACCAAGGGCCACTAGTGGAAACCAATTCAGCATTCTGATTCATGGATGACCCTGGCCACTGCTTCCAGTATGTAACCCCACCCCCCACCCCCAGGGGAGTTTTGGACATCTTGGGTGGCAGGTCAAGCAAAAGCATTTTGGGGAACTGGCTGGGTGGGTGTGCTTCCTCTGAATTTAGACACGCCCATTGGAGAGCCTCTAGTGAGAGGTCTGAGGCTCCTCATTAATTGCCACACACTCCTTTTCTTCTTGAGCCTATGGATTCAGTAAGTAGTGAGTATGGAAATACAGGCATTTGTTCTGCTTCTACTGTATGCGAGATGCTGTAATAAATGCTGGAGATGCTAGAGAACCAAAGGTTAATCTCCCAATATCTCAAAGTCTAGTGGGGCGACAGACCCATACCAAAATAAATCATGTTGCCACATAGTAAGTGCTATGCAAGGGTGGATCTAATGTTGGGGTGGGGGTGGGGGTTGCTAACTTCATCTAGGTGAGTCAGAAAAGGCCTCAAGAAGTGACTAGGTTTTACAGAATGAACACGAGTGAGTGCAGAAGTCATCACCCAGGATAAGGCTCTGACAGACCCTGGTCCTGTGCTAAACTACAGGACAGTTTAATTGGCTATACTTGACTTGAGGTCTGAGCAAGCATTTCCTAACTTCTCAGTTTCTTTAGAACTCTCACCAAATCCCTCCTGAGGATTTGATCCATGGGCTGGTGTAGGGAAATTGAACGTAAACGGTCAGGCTCCCTGAAGGAGTTTTGGAAAATTGCCGAACATTTGATGTAATTATAACTCTGCACATGCACCCAGGTGTTCCTTGGTTATTGTCTGATGTAATTGCACATGTGTGCCCAGGTGTTCTTTGGTTGTCTGACTTGCACCCGGGTGTTCCTGGGTTATGGGACTTAAGTATAAAGGAAAAATGGTTCTGATCCACAGGGCCCTCCGTCCCTTGCCCAGCTGGGGTGGGAAGGGAGGGGGCCCCAAGGAGGCCACTACTACTGCTGCTGGAGGTTGTGGCTGCAAGCTGTTACTGCCAGGGACCCCAGCCACTGCTACCTCTGCTGTTGCTGAGGAAGCTGAG